TTTGTCTCTTTCATTTTTTTTTTCTCTCTCAGAAGAGTCACAGACATTCACAAACTGTGGATCTTGTTAAAGCTATTTGAAAAGGGCAAAGGGTTGTCAGTGATCAAAGCAGTAGTAGTGTCTTAGAGGTTACGAGAATCAATAGTGAGACTCTGGGTTCTATAATGTGTTTTGAATAATGATGAGAAGGGCTGCATGGTTTCAAAGGGAAGATGCTACTTGGAGGTGATTGACCTCTGGGGCTTCTGTAGTTTCCATAAGGTTCACATAAGCACCCAATGTTTAGGAAAGTATGCAGGTAACATAATACAAATGTACAACTTAAGCTACAGATTTTATTTTACATTCTTTCAGCATGTTGTTATTCAAAACATGCTGCACCACTTAATGAGCATTTGGTAGCAGAGCACTAAAATGGTAACTTTTGGGTGCTTATCTGAACTAAATTTATATTTGAACTTTCTGAAGTTCACCCATAATATAATCAGCCTTCTAGTTTTGAGTGTGTTACCATCGGAATTTCAGCAGTGAGGCTGCAAATACTTTGGGCTGATACTTTTCAGATCTGAATTGTAAGCTATAATTTAAGCAAATCATTTTAATGCTGTGTTTTAGCAAATGCTCATCAAGAGGTGCAGCATATGATAGATGAAATAAACTGTAGAAACATAAAATTCTGGTTAACTTTTTAAAACTTAAAGAAAAAAATGAGTCCCTAGATTTCTGGAGTTTAATATGCAATTTAAGTATGGATCCCCTGACTTACCATAGTTTAGTATGCATTTTAAATGTATTTTCTATCTTATTTTTTTTTTACCTTAGGGGCCAAACTGCTAACTTCTGTTGGACGCTTAGTGTTGAACATTAAGAACTGAACAGCACAGCAAGTTGACCTTTGCTCATATTACTGAGTTTTTTGTTGTGCTGTATTGTTACCATTTATTATGATTAATTAGGTTGCTTAGATACATAATTTGCAATGCTTATATGTAACTCTGCATGACACAAGAGAAAGAGGCTCCATCATTGATAACACTTAGGCAAAAGGAAGATAATTTGATTTGCTGTTTTTTTTCTCTAGATTGGTTCAGCTTTGTTTAATTTACTGCAAATACAAGCATCCGAATTCCAAACTGAAGTCATGGAGCCCTAAGATACACCGTTACAGGTTGTCATCTATCTTGTCTTGATCTTGTGAGAGGCCTCAGCTTCAGTTTATGTTTCCTGGATTTTTAGAACATTTTCCCTTGTTTCCTTTACAAATGAATAGCTACTGAATACACACATGGAGTCTGACTTTGAGATCATTGGTGAATTTTCAGATTATGCTTTTTGTTAGTTACAGTGAAATATTCACACAATTTAATGTTCACAAAAGATCTGTTAAACTCATCTTATTTCCACAAAGAAAAGGCTACCCTAAAAGGCCATCACCTTACATTTGTGGGTGAGTGTATACCTGTGCATGTCTGAGGAAAAGCAGTATTCTTTCTACTAATGATTTTTGGCCTGACTTTTCCAGGTAGTTTCTCATAGGTTTTTCAGCTTGATTTACTAAAAACAGTTGCTTAGAGATATTATAGATATGATAGTGGTAATAAGGAAATACTTCAAATCACTAGCTGTAAATTTGAGGCAATATGAGGTAGAGGGTTGATAGGAAGTACAGAAAATGTTGTGCACCTTGGTAAGATTTTCTTTCTGTTCAAAATGAGCTGAAGAACAAAGAAGACATAGCCATAAACATAATGAACGTGGTATAATCCTACTCCCATTTAATGGAATAAGAGCACAGATTAATTTTGCCATTTATTTTCAGATCTCTTGTTTTTAAATCAGTATTCGTGTCATTTTTCATTTCATGTACAAGGTGATAGAAAGTGTACTTTAAATTCTACTCTATCTCTTAACTGCAATACACCTGGGGAAATTCAATAACCTTTTAAATAAATACATAGTTTCTTTCAAAAGAAAGACCATTCTTCGCTTTCTTGTTTTAGTATAAATTTATTCTACAAGTTGATACATTATGTTATTTTATTTTACAAGTCCTCTATATTTAACATAGTTTTCCTTAAGGAAATCAGGATCTTAAGATATTGAATGTCTGACCCTGAACAGAACTCCTTTCTGATTTAAGCAATGTTTTTTGCTAAAATATTAGTAGTGTGATACAGGCTCATTCAGTTTGAATTCCTTTCTGTTTGTCTTTGGAGATTTGCTGAGAAAAACTGTGCTGAAATTAAGGACTGAGTAAGGACTAATAGACCATGTCAGCAATAGTGTCTAGCTGTGATACTGTGTTTCTCATGCTGTCTCCTGAAATAATTTAGGAAAAAGGAGAACATTTTTCTTATTTTATGAGGTAGGGAGGTGAGAAATTGTTTAAAATCATTTTGCAAACACATAAATTAATTACTAAAATAATTCTGAATGCTGTGTCTGTTAGTTTATACATTTCGACTGATTGTTTACTTGGATTTTAAATGTCTGGGAGTATTTGTTAAATATTCTCCTTTTTGGAGATGGTAGCATGATGACGAAATGCATGTTTTAATTATTACTTCCTTTTCTGTGCCAATAGATGGATGGTGTATTTGTGTAGGTATATCAAAAGTGAAATTCTGCAAGTAAAATATGGAGCTCAAACCAGCATTCAAACCACCCCGAAATGTAGAAGTTTTCAAAATACAGATAGTTATCCAAATACAGTTTTTTTCTTCTATCTGTGTTGGACTGGTTGAAATCTTCGTGTCCTAATGCACTTGAATTTTTGATATTCTGAACATTGATCCATACTTCTTAAAGTCAACACAGGTATTAATTTAAGCCAGTGATCTTGATTTGTTTCAAAATGAGTACAGGAAAATGAATCGCAAGTACAGCCATCGCAGTCTGACACTTTTAGTTACAGTGTGGCAATCTAAGTCATGCACAGAACAGATGAGCAATTAAATTGCAAAAAAGTAAGTAAGACGTTATCACAAGAGCACCTGATAACGTATGTGAAAGGAACTTCTTTTAAATTCTCACTTTGAAATATGTACCGGATTTAAGTTTAGATACTTGGTTGATTTAGATTTGGTTTTGGTTTAGTGTTGAATTTTGAAACAATTTAATGGTTATAAAATTCATTATCAAAAGAATTACTGAAAAAAAAAGATTGTGATATTTTCTGTGATTTCCCTGTTTGATCTTTTAGACCACATATTTGTGATTGTATGTCTCAGTCTGAAGAAGTTACAACCATAGCAGCAAAAGCATTTTTTTCAGAGATTTAAGTAAATACTTATCATGTTTTAATTTCTTCAGTGAAAAATAAATTCAACTTTGGAAAGCAAAGTAGTTCTTCATTGGCAGCAGGTATGGTTTTACCTGGGACCATATTTCTAACAAGAGGCTCAAGAATGTCTCCTTTCATACGTTTTCATAGAGCCACTCACCAAATGGGAGTTGGTGCGTAATTTAATGTAATTAATTGTCTTTGTCCAAATTGTCAAATGTTCAGTGGAATTTCTTATCATTACTGATTACTCATAATTTTAGTTCCAAGATGGTATATTTTTGATTTTTTAAAAGATGGCTTGCTTCTACCAGTCATGAAACTAAATGCACAGTATATTTGTATCCTGTAAGAGTGACACCACCTGATTTTAAATTTAGAAAATTCTCATTATTCCAGAGAAGCTTGTACTTTTGAACGGTTGTTGTGGCTGCCAGGTAATAATGTTTAAAACCATTTATGTATGCAGTACAATGCAAGAAACATGAATCTTAGGGAAAATCTTAACAGTTGTTCTGACTGAGGTTCACAGAAAAGCCTAGGTGCCAGTTATTCATTTCCTCAGACAAGCAGTAAATTTGTGGAGGATCTAGATGGGAGTCTAGTAAGCTTATTTTACTCATACCGTGTTTTCATTTTTGCTCTTTGTACCAAGATTCAGCATAATAACCTATACAGGAATTATTTTGGGATATAATTTTAAGCAGATGTTTAATGTAATAGTAATGACTACCACAAGGTCATTTTGAAGATCTGAATATCTTTAAAATTTTCAGAAATACTTTGAAATAAAAAATATTTATAAGCAGGTTGTTAAGTCCTATGGAGATCTCAAAAGGAATACAACAAAAATTATCATGAAAAAATTATCAGTTACTGTAAAAGCAAGTAATTTCTAATTCTGTTCTACATATATAGCTCAAGTGAAGGGCAATTGAAGTGCCCATGGAGATTTCCCAAGTCATTAGCCAACTTTGGATTGTGCCCTCATTGTGAATTTCAATCCCACATATTTAGTTATGAATCTGTAATGTCAATAGAACTTGACTTAATTTAAATGAGAAAATACTGTAGGAGAAAAGATTACTGGAAAAACTGTTTAATGCTGACAATGGAGGAAATCAGAAAGGCTAAATTATTTATGAAGTATCAGCCACAATTCTAAAATACTTAAAGAAAATATTTTAATATTGTAAATATGTACTGTTTTAGAATGTGTTCCAGAAAAGGATTGCAAGTAATCCAAGCTCAGAAACCTTTAAGTTTAAGCTGAAGGAAACAAATCTTGCTGGTTCATGTTTAAACATTAACAGCATCTTTCCTTTTACCATGATCTTTTAAGTCAGATGATATTAGTAATGGAGACACCACAGCACATTTTTTTACAGCAGACTTTTACAACAGCACTAATATGTAAATGTAAAATAAATATGCTGCTTAGATGAAACTGCTGTACAAAACACTATGTGCATAGTGGATGAGGAAAATCACATTTTTGTAGTCTACAGTTTGATGCTTCCAGAATTTTTGTGGCACAGTATCTTTATTTAGAATATGGTGACAATTAAGTTGCTACAGAGTATTTTAAAATCCCCTATTTCTCCAGCCAAACTATTGTAGTATGTTCAAAACAAAATCTTGTGTATGTGTTTGTATGAAGACTTGAAGCAATTTTAGTCTGTTACTCTGATCAACTTGCTTCTGCCTTCTTTCCTAGGAAGTGTGTAGAGAGCTCTGGTGTCTCAGCAAAAGTAACCGCTGTGTTACCAATAGTATTCCAGCAGCTGAAGGTACTCTTTGCCAAACAGGAAGCATTGAAAAGGGGGTGAGTACAAGTAACTTACTGTTCAAAGAGGTAATTTATTGTTTGGAGATTACAAGAAGGAAAAACCAGAAAATTAAAGTCCTAATGCTCATGTAGGAGTTTAAAAAAGGGGAGATCCAAATACATTAGCATTCTAATGTTATTACCCTGTGGAAGTTATTTAACAATTTTTTATATATATATAATGCAGCTAAACTGCATAATTTTATTTCCTGAATTTAAAACAAAACAAAACAAACAATTACACAGTCTCTCTTTATTTTCTAGATTATTTCTGTAAAAACTCTGTCTTTTAATCTTTATGAAGTTTTACAGAACTTTACAAGAGTGTTGTTACGATAGTAGGTCTTTCATAGACACTGAAAATGTGTAACAGATCTAGAGCCTGAATTCTGTTATTCTCATAGAGATAAAAGAGTCTTAATTCCTTCGGACACTAGGTGAATCATACAAGCATATAGAAAAAATGCTTGTCTTACTAAAAGTGGTTTCTGAAAGTCCATATTTCCCAGTGACCAATCTGTTCTGACTTCAGATTATTTAATATCACGTAACTATGTGGCTTTGAAGAGCTTTGCTCTTCTACCTAACAGAAAATTACCAAAAGTCAGTGTTGCAACAGATAAGTCTAGTACTATTGTATCTGTCTGAACATGTGAGTTTTAATTTTCAAACACTGAATATGTTTCAGTAGTTTCAGATAAAATTTTGAAAATAAATTTTAAATTAAGAATAGTAATGGAGTTTTTCTCAATTGCAGAGATCTATACAGATCTCAGAGGAATGAAAAATAATTTGATCTTTAGTTTACAGGTTTTGTACTGGAAAAAAAAGTTACTTCTATTTGCCAGCTCCCAAGATAATATATTACATTTTATGCAAGTTTTTACAAAATGAGGACAACTTATTATATCGAACAGTTTCTAGTACCTCTTTGAGTGTTGCTGCATCTGTCATTAAGATTTACTACTCCAGATTGGAATTTTTCCTAACTATGACTGCTATCATCTGTTCTCTGTTCTGATTCTTGCCATGCTAGCGAAGCTAGTTTCAACAAAGATTACACTGCATTTTGACTTGCAATCAGATGTTTAAATAGAATGAAAGCTTTTGGGCAGCTGTCACAGTTTATTAATCCTTGTTGACGGTTTCCTTCAGGGCCCATGACCTAGCACCATTGTGATGACTTTTCCATGCCGAGTTTGGAAATATTGGTAAACCATGTTAAATACATTCATTGAAGGGGTCATTTTAAAAAATAGAGTTAGCCAATGAAAATAGAGAGACCTTCACATTTTACTGAAAATGTTACCTTTTATTAGAGTAATAGAAAATGTGCGGAGCCCTATTCTTAAATCAACAGTCTAGGTTTATTTTGGAACCAGCATTCCTTGTCAGCTACAAGGAGCAATTTACCTCAATTTATATTTTTCAAACCATTTAAACTACACTTTAAGTCAAGATGCTTTAAGACAGTTACTGTGTCCATTTACCAGAGGCTCCAATCAATTAGCTCTCTACAAAACATGTCCAGTATCTTCTCTTTTTAGATTTTAGAGAGAAGTGTGGGGATCAGTATTATCTTACAAAGCTAAACTGTTTGTGGCCTTAAACAGCAGAGAATTACAGCTATGTTCTTCAAAAGTTCCTGTAAATTAATAGTTCCTGTTAGCAAATAAACAGAAAACACACATCTTTCCAACTGTGTAGTTCTCTTCACCACATGCTAAGGAGAAAATAATAGGTTGCAATAACACTTTATTATTATTATTATAGTAACATTTATATGGCAGTCACGCCTAAAGGCCACAACCAAACTAGGCCCTATTTTGCTGGGCTCTGTCCAAACAGATAATAAATGACATTCCCTGTTCTAAAGATGGAGCAAGATCCCAGAGTACTTTATTGTGTTTAGAGGATCGATTTCTGCTTTTAGTTACACTGATGTAAATTTTGTGTAACTACTAACTCAAGGCAAAATTTGATCATTTGATGATGGAGTGTGCACTAATATCTTATTGGCAGAGCTAGGGGGATTTCTAGAATAAAAATTGCCCATAACTATATTATAATCCTTCTTGTAGTTGCTTATATGAATGTGCCAAACTTTAACTCTTTGTGTTGAAATGCAGTCAATGTCTGCATAAGCCTGAGGATTTTAGAGTTTTTTCCATAAATTATTCAACTGTTTCTGCATAAAAGGAAATAGAATAGTGTGAAGGCTCGTTTGCTGGTGACAGACCATCTGTTCTGTAACACCTTCAAGTCTTGGTGGAGGGGTTCATACATTGGTTGGGTTCAAAAAGGTATATTTTTCCCAAATCTTGCAATAACTTTTCAAGAATAGATGGAGCTTTTCTCTGGTCTCACATCATTGTATAAACACATTCTAAGCATGTAAACAAGGGGCAAATGAGCAAAATGAGAAAACACAGTGTGCTGAAAGAAGTTTGAATATTTGGAATACGTAGTGTTGTAAATTCAAGTTATAATTGGATATCAGTTTTCCATGCAATATAACTGTAGAAATTACTGATTGAAAATCCATTGTTTTTGCTGAGATGAAAAGCTTAAATTGAATTCATCTTTTTTTTCCTGTGTTTGTAAAATGATATAAATTTTCCTCTGTATCACAGTGTTTGCTCAATGAGTTTTTGAGAAGCATGCTGTTACAAAATATCTAAAATTCTTACAGAAGTGGTCATATTTTTTTTAACATATTTTTTTTTTACCATTAACAATCTCTATAAAAAGAATCCCCAGACTGCTCGTATTATCCAGAGTTGCAATCTTGTGCACATTTTATTTGTTTTGAAATGCATCTCTACTGTCTCTCTGCATTTCTGAGGAATTGAAAGTTCCTTCTCCAGTGGGAGAGGACAATTAACTTTTCAGCTCTAAGCCTTTAATAAAATATTGCATTTCTCAAATAGCTGTCACTTCCTCTATTTATTTTATATATATATATTTTTTTCAAAAACTGTTTACTCTGAAGTCCTCATTATTGTGGATGGAGTAAATATATTTCTGCAGTAACATTAGAAATAATGCAAATTTTTGGACATTTTAAATTAATTAGGTAGAGATTCAGTATCAGCTGAGAGACAAATTTTCACTAGAAAATTTGCAAGAGACACCAAAGTGCACAATAGATCTTCAGATTTAACTTCAGTAGAAGAGCAAAACCAGCACTGAAGGAGTCTTTACAGAGGATTGTGGAAATATAGAAGAAGGAAATACTAAAAAGGCAGAGAACAGTACGAAGAACAGGGGTTGTATACAAGTTTGGGGAAATAAAGCAGGTAAAATGCAGCAGCCTATTGTCTTCAGCCATAATAGCACAGAATTGGCTTGTATGCATTTTTTCTTGGTACATGTGTAGTATGGATTTATGGTTTAACGTTAACTGTCTCTTTTATTTATAAATCTTGTTTTGGAAATGTTTATATTATTTCTATAATGTATTTTTAGTCTAAATTGTTAACATACATTTTTACTCTTAGAAACATTCTAATTTTTAGCATTTGACCTTAGCATTAGATAACTGTTTATGTACTCCTGTGGATTCTGTAACAAAATGCTGCAAAGTGATTATTGTCTTTTAGTTAGTGAAATGATTATCACTTAGTTTGTCACTGTAATGAGGAGAGAACAAGAAAACTTTAGTTCACATGAATTAACTTTATTCTCCAGTTGTACAGTTATTGTAAAACACCATCATTTCAGAAAGTATATATTTACTGTATGAACTGCATTATGTGTTATACTGGCATTCAGTGACAGTCTTGATTTTAAAAGCTGCTCCATATTAAGAGTATTTTCCTCTGCTAGATGCCTGCTTATTGGCAGAATTCTCCAAGTTGTAAATTTAGAACTGCAAGAAGAAACCCCTTCTTACTCCGAACAGCTCTGTGAAACCTCATGTCCTTGGTTTTTGTTGTTGTTGTTTGTTGTTGTTGTTGTTTTGTTGTTGTTGTTTGGTTTTTTTCTAAAGAAATATGATGATTTGAGACTGGCTGATATGATAGCTAAACGTCCAACTAATTTTTTGCTCATTCCTCCACATCAGGACTAGGGAGAGAATCAGAAAGGCAAAAGTGAGAAAAACTCATCTGTTGAGATTAAGGCAGTTTACAATGTGAAGGGGGAAAAAAAAAAAGAAAACAAAACAAACACAAGAGATGCAGAGGCAATCAGTCATTCACCACCTCCTATCAGTAGACTAATGCCCGGAAAGCCTCTAAGTAATAACTGCCTTGGAAGGACCCAGCAGTGTTATTGCTGAGCATGATGCCAGTTAAATTGTTGAAAATGATATTTTAGGCTTTATGGGATATCCTTTTGCCAATTCAGGTCAGCTGTCCTGTCCCTGTCCGTATCCAGTCTATTTCCTGGAGGGGCAAAGTGAGAAAAAGAAAACTTTGAGGCCATGCAGGCACTGGTCAGTAAACAGTGCTATCAGCACTGTTTGGTCACAGGCCTAAAATACAGCACCATCTACAACAGAAATATGCTGGATAAACAGAAATATGCTGGATTGTAGCATCAATTCTTCAAAACATGTTCAAGAACAACATACAAAAAGAAATTAATATAAATATAAAAATTTATCTATAGCATATATTATATAATTTATATGATATATAATATATAAAATACATATATAATATATAATATCACATATATACCATACATATATACTATATAATATAATGGCAATTAAAATGTATTGAGAGAAAAAAGAATGATATGACTAGAAAAATAATGTTAGTTTTCACTTTTATTAATATTAAATGGTAGCATGTGTTTGTACGCAAAACTACTTTGTAAGTAGGTGCATTTGCTGATGATAAGCTACATAGTTTATTATTAACATATTAGGTGTTCATTCATAGGCCTTTTGACATGCTTGACAATTAAAGTATTTTCTATTCAAAGAGAAATTTCTAATGGAAACCTAAATTTTTTAATTAATTTCCATTGACTAACACTGTATAATCCTTCTTAATATGAAACCTTTATTATTATTATTTTTGTTTTCTGAATCATGACTGCAGATTAAATTGTATTTTCACGTGATATCATAAAAATCGAAAGTAATTCAGGTCTGTTCCAGTGGCTACATTTAATTGTTATACTCAATTCCATACTACTGGGGCTGATGTGACTTTAGGTGAGCTTTAGGATGAGAAGAGAAAACTTGGTTTTGCTGTACCAATTAAACTCCACACAGAGTCTTTTTATACTGTTTATGGTCTGAACACAGATATATCTCTTTCACTGTGTTTTCTGTGTATGTCTCAGTGCATTTTTTCAAATTTATATTTCTGATATTGGACACAGAAGTTATTTTTTTTCTGAAAAGCATCAATATTGTGTCTGTTATGGTACTTCAAGGCAGTTAAGAAACAGATGACCACCTCTTGGAATTGAAATATGCAGATTTGGGACATTGTACACTTGAGGCCATGTTCTATTCTGTTGCTGGATGTAATAACGGCAGTAATGAATCAACTAATTGAACTGTTTTAGATTTTCTGTGCTATACTAGAATATGGATCAAACTGTGATTCATCGGTTGTTTCTGAATTGTTTAATAAAGTTGCTGACTTAGGGAGTGATGAGCTTACTTTTACAAGTATGATTTTATTTGAATTCACTGACATTTTTAATTACCAACTTAAGTAACAATATTGCTTGTTTCAGTTTGCATGAAAAAAGTACATTGTTTGTTCTGCTGCTGAACAAATGAGCAGTTACAGTGATTTTCTGTACCATGTCTCATGCCTTGGCACTGCTTTTGTTATGTCTGTAGCATTAAATAGAGGAAGTACTACAACAGATTCTTCTTATATTTTAGCTTTGTCCAGATACTTTTTTAAAATGTAGGGGAATACTTTCTTGAAATTACTATTGGGGAAAATCTTTCATTTTGCATAATGACGCCCCTATGTGAGTTGTTAATTGGAACTTGCTCTGTTAGACTAATTTCAGAAAGGACTCTTTAGTGTTTAAACTTAATACAGCTTCTACTAGGTGGTTCCCTTGTTAAGAAACATTAGCAAGGATGTATAATGGAAAAAGAAATTATTCTTTCTTAAGCTTGATTAAACTTCTGTTGTGTGTTTGGGACTTATAATTTAGAGTTTAGTGAAGACAATTAACAAATCACACATGCCCTTACCAGTGTCTAAACATTGCTAGATTAAGTAAAATATTAGTCTTGTTATCTGTTCAGAGAACACTGATGCCTATAATTGGTCATTGTCTGACCCTGGTATTTTTCTGTCATGATAACTGTAAGCCTGAAAATTAATTTTGTTTGCTTCTTTTTGGTGAAATCTTTCAGTGGTGCTATCAGGGAGAGTGCGTTCCTTTTGGCACTTGGCCCCAGAGCATAGACGGGGACTGGGGTCCGTGGTCAATATGGGGAGAGTGCAGCAGGACCTGCGGTGGAGGAGTCTCCTCATCAATAAGACACTGTGACAGTCCAGCGTAAGTAGCTAAAGTAAGCCGGAGCCAACAAAAAGACACAGTTGGAATTTATTCAAAACTGTGGTTTCACATGTTATCTGTAAAAATGTTTCATTGGTTTGCCAGCATTTGTCTTCAAAATAGCAGACAGAAACAGTTAAACAGGAGAAGCTCACTTGGCATAGTTTTAACATTTTTTAATTTATCTATTATGTATGTAGTATATAGATTGCTGGAATTATATTTAGTAGTGAATAGAACAATTTTATTCTTCAAAATTCCTTTTATACACAATATATTTAAATTATGAATTAAGTTTATTTTTTCATTGTCCATATCATCTCTGGTGTTAGTCTAGAATATAAATAACTATTGCCAGTTATTTATTAAAAAAGCAACACTGTCTCCAAGATTCTGCATTCAGTGGTTTACATATAAACTGTAATTGGTAATATTGCTGAGCATACAGTACATTTATGTTCTGTCACATTCAACACTTAGTTTTGACTTCCCACTGACTCTTAAAACAATTGAGCTACTTCTCTCCTTGCCACCACTCCCTATTGGTCCATTTATTCTCTCTCAAGAGGGGGCACCTTCTCCACTACAGCTTGGTCTGTTCTGTATATCACCTCGTAGTAGCATCTGTCTGCTTCCCAATGTCCTGAGCACTGTTGCAGAGATGGTTTGTCAGGTAAGTGCTTTTATCTGTCACTAGTGCTTCTCAGATGAGGAATGCTTACTTATTTTCATTGCTGTTCTTTGTTGAATGAGTCACTGCTTTTTTATGTTTCTCCTTGTCCTGCTTGGGTTATTTCATTATAGCCATAGTTATCTGTGGTAGTTTTATTACTCAGTACTTTGTTCTTGTCATGATCTCTACTTCCATCACCACTGTTAACTTTAAAGTCTACTACCTCCATCCCTGTTTGACCACTTTTTCTTGAAAACATCATGTTTCTTTCATGAAAATCCCTTCTGTGACTTCTGTCATTCCTGTCTTACCTTCTCCTCTTAGTACATTTAAAGTTCTTCATTTCTTGTACCCAAATTTTGTAACCCAGGCTTCCCACAATGGTCTGTAAGATGGGCACCATGATGTGACATTACTGCTATTTAAAGCGATCTTTTTACTTTCTATCATTATCTGTTACAATCAGTCAAGTCTGGAATATACCACTACTTATTGAATAGATAAAAAATTATATCTGCTCCTGGATAACAGTCAGACTTTATTCCTGAGAGAACAATAAATTAAGCAAATAATCTTTTTCACAACACTCTGTAAAAACGGTAGTGAAATGTTTGTGTGAACATAATTAATATTGTAAGATTTTTAGCTACTTCTATTTCCACGTGTATTTATTATGTTGAAAGATAATTAGTAGTATAGGAAGCATACGTGATTTTTTTAAAAATTATTATTCCAATGCCTGCATTAGGAAAAATTTCCCTTTGGTTCATTAGGATTCCTGGTTAAATAACTGTAACCTGAAAATAGTATTGATTTACTGTTTAGTTAATTGAAAATTGTTCTTTTCCTTCATTATAAAGCAAACATCAAGTATTTTTAGTTTCTACTCTCAAGTTATGAGCCAAAGATCTGATGGATAATTAATCTTTCATTAAAATCAATGATAATTATTATTTGACCTCTGTGGAAGATATATAAGGTTCTTGAACAATCTAGGAGTTTAAGAGCATTTAAGAGCCAGAGTCGTAATCACACCACTTACTCTGAGTTTCTTCAGATTTAATACTACTTAATTCAAATCAGAATCAGATTCTTGAAAATGTAGTCCTTGCTATGACTCCAGTATTGAGCAGGCAGTTTCATTTTGTTATTGCTAAGGAAGTAATATGAAAATGTGGGTAGGTTGTTTACACACACACACACACACACACACACAAAAAGCAATACCTTTTTAATATGTTCAAAACTAGATGAATACTATGAATGAAGATTTTAAGCACCCAGTACTATTTTGCATCTGCTGTCATTCATGTCAGTGCTACAATTTTTCTTAAGAAAAATATTTTAATATCTTGCCTTAAAAATTTAATGTCAGTTATTTTTTACATTACATAATTTATGAGGGCTGCTCTGGAACCAATGCCTCCCTTTTTATTATGTTAGCCCAAGCTGTCAGATGCAGATGCTGGTGGTATGGCGGTAAAGGTTGAACCTTCCTGCCAATATTTCATTCCATGTTGTTGCCGTGTGACAGATGGCAGCAGAGAGACAGTCTGACAGAGTGGCATCTGTCATGGAAATGCATTTGGAGCAAACATGTGACACTGAATTTCTCCATTCTATCCATGTGGAAAAAAATGGCACCTACAGACATTCATTGTCACTTTGAAAAATGAGTAACTAATGGTGATGACTGTGTTGAAAAGCAGTGTTCCATAGGTAAAAATTTGCTTTATCAGACTGTGTTATTGCACTCTTTTTATCTGTTGTTGCTTCCATGGAAATAAAAGGAACGCATTTCTTTCAGAGCAACCTATGTATATCTTATGTGCTTGTATTTATGCTTAAAATATAAATCTCATGAACATGTGTTTATGCTGAAACATAAACTAAGACATAAAACATCTTTTTCCAGGCCTTCAGGTGGAGGCAAATATTGTCTTGGAGAAAGGAAGAGATATCGCTCCTGCAATACTGATGTAAGTAAATTTTGTTCCTTTGTAGAGCAACTTGTCTGTTTTTAATTTCATTAGAAACACATGTATTTATGCATTTTTTATCCAGTTCACAAAAGCTATGAATTTAGCTCTACACTGGCAGGCATTTCTGTTGGGTACCTCTATACAGTGGACACCCTACAGAGCTCTGCTGAATGTTGAGATCCCTGTCTCAAAGGGTTCCCAACTGCTGCATTCATTACTAAGGCCTAGAGCAAGTTCAAGATGAGCATCCAGGTTTAAGGTGAACAAGGGGCATAGGGAGTTCCATTATGCATTAAGCTGAAGTTCTGTCTAGCCTAGCATCTCTCAATAGTAGGTAATAATTAGTGTTTAGGGAAAAATTACAAAATTATAGGAGCCAAGTGTGACATTTCCTTCCTTAGAAGTTTCCAAAAGCTGGGTATTGAAAGATTTCATGAACCTCTCTTTTTATCTGTATATTGTTTAACCTTCACCAATTGGACTTTCCTCAGCCATCCCTCTACTTCTAAGCCTGCTTTTTATATCTATATAACTTTCAGTGTTTACAGTCCTCTTTGATAATCTGTGAAAATGTATTTCTTCCAGTATAAGTGCACTGCTTTGCCATCAGGAATCCGTTGTTCTTGTATTACCTAAATGATCATGCAGTTTTGGCTCAACCCACCAAGTAATGAGCTAACACTCATTAGGAAGGAGGTAGGGCAGTGTGCAAATGCTTAAAATCAAATTACTGACAAAAATTATAAACTCAAATAAGTTAAAAATTGAACAAAATCAAATGACAAAAGTACATAATAAAGCTATTCACTAGTAGTTTTCTAAGTTAGTAGCAATACAAACAAAAAGCGAGCTTCCATAATGTTTCAAATTCAACTTGGTTTTCTTCTCAGAACAACCTTATAACAGTGGGAGAATCTGTGTACATATGGTGTATCTAATGGTGTTATTTCAGCTTTTCATCTTTGGCTATATTTCACAAAAAAAATACACTAATTAATATTGTTTCCTTTAAAATACCTTGATATTATGATCACTGTTAATTTTCATGTGTTTTCTCTGCATACGTGAGATTTTCCCATGAGGTTTATCCTCACTGTTCAACTGTATTACAAATTTTCAGATTCAAAACCAGTTCCATACTCCATATCACAGCTGCTCTGTTCACATATCCAAGAGGTGCGCTAGGCCTTTTTACCATAGTGTTGTAAGAGAGTCTAAAACTCAGCTTCTTGTCCTGTATGAGATGTAAATCTTTTCCAGTCCTACTGTCCTCCAAGTTACACCATTATGAAAACCTGACTGTCTTTCTTTTTCAGTGGATTTCAAAAGGTCAGCTGTGTTTGGTGTCTTTGTGCAATTTTCCTTTGAATGAATCTAGCTTGTCAGACAGTGCTCTGTAATTATTTTACTGTTATTTTATTTTTCACACGGCTGGTTCTTGTGAAACTGGAAAATATGCTGTTATTTATAGCTCCAGTTCAGAAACAAAAATGTTAAATGATGCTGAACATGTTTCTCATTTTTACAGTTGATAGGGAATTCAACAGTGAATTCAATTCACCGACTAAGTAATGATTCTTTATTGAAGTCTTTTATTTGTTAGTTACCAATCAATAATGAGCAAATTTAACATACTTTACTGAATTAATGTAGGTTTGGTTTTTAATTGGGATACAGTGCACTGTTAATTTACATGGCTCATTAATATCCAGGTATATTGTATTATTTTTTATTTTCACCAGGAAACATATAAAGTTGTAGGTGATAAAATGTTATAGTATTCTTGTACAAGACACTGGTCTGTATTATCATTTATCTTTCTTTTAAGCCTATATTAATCAAGTCACTATCAACTTCTCTGGTTAGTTTGGTCTGATGTCAGACAAGCACATCACTCACTAGCATATGAGAAAGTTTAGATAATATAATATCCTGCTACCTCACAAATATTCAACAATTTTTAAATGGTCTTTTTTCTTTTTAGTTAGTATACCATACCTAGTGATACTGTTGAAATGTTGCTAGGATTTCTTTTAGTCTTACCATTTTTAATTTCTTAATGTTAGGTACTTTCAAGAAATTCTTCCAGATTTGCTATGCTTCCCTTATTCTTTTTAACTTCTTGTTTATTACGAAGAGGAAGCTGAAAATGTCACAGAGGAACATTTGAAAGGTGGCTGGGAAGGCCATTCTGGCTGTTCCTTGGTTCAGAAGCAAAATCAACTGTCATTAAACTATTTTCAAATGATAGTTGAGAAGCTGTCTAATTCAAAACTCTAACTCTTTTGAGACAGCATTAGAATCTTTACTTTTCAGAACCATTTTCCTAAAATATAGCACATTTTCCATCCTTTAAGAGTCTTACTCTGTTCCAGGTGTTATTTAGAAGAACATATTCCCTCTGTGGCAGCCTTTTCTCTGTTTGCAGACTACTGTCATATTTCCTCTTATTCCTCTTTACACTAGATAGTCTCTCTGCAAACTATCTTTGGCATCCCAGTAGTGTGTGTTTTCTTGTAATGTGGTAGCCAAATGCTGCACAGGTTTTTTGATTTTCTGTCAAAAAGAAGCTTAGAACTATGTTATCTTAGTGATGAAATTATGTTTATAAATTTCAGTACTGTGTTCATTTTCTTAAAACTGTGATAGCGTTTATTCAGCCAGTATTGATTCACAGCACCCAAATCTCTTTCTGAGGAGCTGGCATTCAGGAGGTCATTCGTCAGGTTGAGCTTGTATGCTTGTTTAATCCAAATCCAAATGTAGTAATTTGCATCCGTTGCATTATTTCAAAACACAGCTCGAAGTAATCCAAATCTTTTGAAGTTATAATCCTGTAGTCCAAAGTGTTTATTTCCTGCCTATGGTCAGATTTCAATAATTTAAACAAGGAGTTGGAAAAAGAAACCTTCAGTGTCACTGACAAGGTTTTAAAAACAAACCTTTAACAGTTGCAGACCTGGGCTAGGGTATTTGCAAATGCCATTTTTAAATTGATTGTGAATAATTTTTTTTATTCGGGGGGGGTGGAGGATGGATAGTGGGTGGGGTGAGAATGTTTTTTCAGTGCATGAATGTATTGTAACTTACTGAAATTTAAATTTTCTGTCTCAATGGTTTTGACAGTTGTAGTCCATTTCTTTTATAGTAAACTTTAGGGTTCTAGATAACTAAGAATTGCTGAGACTAGTAGATTTTGTTTCAAGATTTATTACAGTCCTTAGTGCTTGACATTTTGAATGGAATGGTATGTATGATTAATGTAAACATTAAAAGCATGCAAATCTGTCATTATTTTTATGAAAAATGTTTTGTTAGTACATCTTTTCTCTTGAAGTTTTTTGCAGTGTCAACACTCATTGCCCGTATGTAATTTTAAATGTAACACTCCCTAAAGCTCCTACCATGCATTAACATTCATTTTGACTTCATTTTTCTTTCAAAGATGAGTTAGTTCTGTTGCCCTTTCTTATGACCATTTTCATTCTTTGGAAACAGCACACACACTCCTACGAGGCATATTTCTCATCAAAGACTTCCAAAGCCACATATGACTTCTTAATTCAAAAGGCATCTGCTAATGGAAACATTGAGATCAGCAGAAAAGTACATTAGTTAATGAATTTAGAAACAAAAGGTGATAGAAAGAACAATGTCATCAGAATTGTATTTTCTATCACCAGCCACTTACTTGCAAGAAACAGTACTTCAGCTTAACTAATTGTAAGTAATTTAGATTATATATAGGATTTGAAACTCAAGCTGATAAACATTTAAGATGTAGAAGATTCCTTATCTTTTAAATGCAATAAAATGTTGTGCTTACAGGTTATGTAAATGCTTTCTTTTCATGAAAGTATAGATGTATGCATACCTTTCAAAGATTGTTGTTCTTTAGTCTTTTCTCACAGAAGAATGTAGGCAAACTATTTCTGTTGTCTCATTCCTTTATGCACATGCTCATTCATAGGTATTGTTAATGTTTCTCATCTTCCGATGTAATCCTTTGTTAATAGGAAACCTAGTCAATTACAGAAGTCTGTCTGACTTGAAGCTCCAAAATAAACAGATTTCTGTAAGATAAGATGTTTGGTGTTGCATCAGTATTGGTTCAATTTGTTGACAGTTCTTGAACTATTTTTGCTTCAGTTTTTAAAAAATTTAATATTCTTCTTAAGCTTTTTTGACTCAAAATTTTAATTGTTTTATCTTCTCCTGTGGACATTCTTCATATCCTGTTATAAGTTCTTACAAATTTGTTAGATTCCTGTCTAATGATTTGCCGTCTCCTAAAGAGGGAGTGGAAACACAAGCAGCCTGTAGCAAGAGTTACTCATGTACAAATTGCTAAATCCTTGAAAAATGATCAATAAGGTCAAACAGTTATTGCATATTAATTTTGGGAGAAGAATATCTACAAGGAGGGACAGTGCCACAGAACTGACATTTTGTAAATTCGTTTCTTGAGGATACTGTCTTTAGATTTACTTTCTCCCAGGTAGTAGTGACATACTCAAGAGGAAATAAAGTTATGCAACAGAAATAAATTTAATTATCAGTTGTATTTTTCTTTATTCAGAGTACAGAATATTGTTCTTTTGAGTTTGGTGGCTACAGTCTTCAGCAGGGCTGCCTGAAATCCATCTCAAAGCTGGATTTAGTATGTGCTTGAGAGTGTTAAAATTGATTGGTGGGAAGAAGAGCAAGATCTTGAGATATGATTATTTTTCAGTATTAGCTAAGAAGACATAGGCACTAAAATGGAAATTTATTTTACTGCACAGGTCAGCAAATCTGCTCATGGACTGATGTATTCACATTTTTTGGAGCCAAAGACACTGGCTTCTAGACAAGTTTTGATATCATCAGTATATTAGTTTTTGAAATTACTTAAAACTACTTGCAGTATAGAAAATCACAATTTTATCTGCAGGATTACCAAAAACAGGACAGAATTTCAAGAAACTAAAAATGTTATCATGTTACTATCTATGGCACTTTCTCTGATAATGGTAATCTTTAGGTGTGTTCTTAACCATTTAAACTCAGCATTTTAACACAAAATAATGGTACTAGTCTATGTTAACTAAGTTATGTTCAGTCATTTCAGATTACAACCTAGTGAGCATTAGAAATAAATTATCTCTCCATGATCTGCTACTGCACATCAGAGCTGAAAGAGCTCTTGTTTTAAAAGTGCGTACATTAATGTAGCTAAAGCTGATGTCCTTACAAATGAAATGCAGCTTGCGCAGTAATGATTACAATGTTTGATACTGAAGCCTTTGAGATCATTCATCTTTTTATCAGTGAATGACTCTCTTCAGGGATTATCTTATTTTTTTAAGTAAGATCTGGAGTCTCTCAGGTATTCCAAAGCAGGTTAGAACATCTGCTTTCAAGGCATTTTTGGTTTCTTTGTTATCAAAGGTAATTGATAAGATGTCTCTAGTAGCATTTTCTCCCATTCTGTTACTGTTTCATCACCTACACTACCTAGAAGGAATAACATCCTGATTGATCACTTTCATTCTTTGCTATCTTGAGTTATCACAGTGATTTTAAGCTTTTCCAGGCTTCCTAATACTGTAGCTGAAATTATTCCTGCATTGTGCAGTCAGATGTGAAAGGACACAATGTGTTATGGATACAAAAGATACTTGTTTGGATGGGTTCAGGTGACTTACGAAGTATGATGAAAAGACATAACTACGACAGCAGTAGCCCTTCTATTGCCTGTCTTGAGTTGCAGCGATGATCCCCTTCATCATCAGCAGACATTCTGCTTAAAAAGTAAAATTTTATTGAAATGAACAAGCTGGAAGTCAGCTGTTGTGGAGTAGTAGTTGTTAGGTCCTAGCACTTTGGAAAGTAACAGATGCTCCTTACACACGTGTTTCTTTCAGGAAAAGTTTTTAACCCTATTTGACAATGAAAAAGCCAGTAGAAATCTGATTTCCTGTGCCTTTCCAATTTCTGAAAGCAGTTATTTCTGTAACAGCATGAGAAAAGAAAGAAATGGTGGAAGTTGAGATAGTGGTGTTAAAAATAAAAATTTGCCCCCAGACTTGCTGTATATAACATTCTCAGAATAGGGCATTCATTTATTGGCCATGGTTTTGTCTAAGTGTAGAGGATAAATAGCTTTGTTCCCATGGTTCATTTAACTGTTCCCAGGTATTGCCTGCCTTGCCTGCCACTCTGGTGAGGAGTAAGATTCCAGGCTAAGCATGCGAGTGCGCGTAGCTGTTTTTCTGTCAGACTACCAAAGCTGTCTTTAAGAAAGAGAAAGCAGTGATATTAGCAGTTTAAATTCAGTGGCAGAAACTGGATGATCAAAAGGAAAGGCTTTGCTTATAGAGTAACTGAATGACTGAGATTGAAAGGAGCTGCGGGAGTGTGTCTTGTCTATCCCTACTTGCACAAACCTTGAGATGGTTGCTCATCAGGACCTGGGTGACTATCTCCAGGAATGGAGATTGCACAAGCTCTCTTGGCAAAATTTGTCTCACCAGTGCAGAAAAGAAGGGAAGGTAGTCACCGCTGGCAGTACCTTGCCTAATGCAGCCCATTATGTTTGCCTTCCTCGTGGTAAGAGTACACTGTTTTGTGTTCAACTTTTCCGCTGTGACTCCTTTTCTGTAAAGCTCCTTTTTGACTGGAAGGCCACAAGCATGTAACTGGTTAATGGGGGTGTTCCTCCCTGCGTGCATGACATTGTGTTTCTCTTTTATTGAACTTGCTGAGGTTGCTGTGGACCATTTTCAAGCTTCTTGAGATGTCTCTGTGTACCAACATGACTCTGGTATTATCAGCCATTCATCTCAGTTGTCTATCATCAGCAGAGTTGCTGAGTATGTGCTCTTATCCATCATCCAGATTATTATTGAAATTTATGATGTTGCCTCAAAATACATCCAATATCAACACCAAAAGAAAAGTAAGACTGCATCTCAAAAATCAGATTACAATAATTTTATTCATAAAAAGGGTTTCATGATGTCTTTTGCAGTGAAGTTTAATTAACTTGGAAAGGTAACTGTGCAGGGGGAATAATAGCCATGCAAATTAGCACGTGGAACTGAAGAGTCGTGGGTATTGACAAGTACAGATGAGATTTGATTGCAGACTTTGCAGTAAGTCAGGACAGTTCCTTCTAATACTTGAAGAATAAGAGACAAAACAGCACATATAATTGTTACCAATGATTTTTTTCTTTGTATTTTTACTTTGTATATTTTTCCAATTATTTTTATTCTTGTTATGAGAAATTCAAAGACTTGACTTAAAAGTACTTTTAAGTACATTTTTAATCAGTAAGTTTTTTTCAAAAATATATTTTTAATTAAATAGAGATAGTAGAGAATTATAGGCAGTTTAAAATTATAAGACTCTAGTATCCAGTATTTTCATTTATGTTCGAAATTGGAGAAAACTGTTGTAGTTTGTGAATCATAGTGCACTGGGCTGGCTATGGTAGGAGCTTGATTAATGTGAGAATTATAATTATTAATATTTGCATTGTGTCGCAGATTTTTATCACACACATTTATACAGACCATTTCACTTGATTGCATTTGAGATTCCTGAAAAGTGCTAGCTGACTTAGATATATGTAGGAAGGCTAGTAAAACTGCCATGAAATGAACTCTTCTGTTGCTCATAAAATAGTAATATTTATGCACAACTCTAATTTCTGTCAAACAGTTTCTTTTCTCTTTCAGTCTAAAAATGATTTTAATTTGTATTTCAAATACTTTGTCTCATGGCACTTGAAATCATAGCTGCTACTTAAACATTGATAGCAATGTTTAACATGCTATGTGAATTCTTGGTGTGTTCAGGATCATCATTATTGTTTTGAACTTGATCATGAAAAATTAGCAAAAAAATAGCAAAGAATTCAGTTTCTTCTGAACTAAGAAAACAGTTTCTTAGTTTTGTAATTGGAAATGTGTAGTAGTGAAAATTGAAGTGAAATCAGTTTTTATGTCTTAATAAATGCTTAGAGTCAGGACTAGACATGTTATCTAGTCTCTTCTTAGCTTATTGCAATACTTTTTTTCAAAGCTGCAAGTAAGCAAAGATGATAATAGTCTGATAGAAAGTGTTATAATTTCTTTCTCAATATCTCAAACAACAAATGTCAGTGCAGCTACTCAATATAGTACATCTGAGACAAGAACTCTTACCAGAATGACTTTAATTTTTTTTCAGTTGTTTTTTATATGTATGTTTATAAGGAGGAAGCAGACAAATCAATTAAGAAGCATAGGTTGACAAGATTTTGTTTTTCTGGTTTTATGGAAACTGTTGTCATGCTTACCTTTCTTTAAATTAATAATTCAATACAATTCAAGCCAGCTGAAAGTTGCAAAATAGGCACTTAAATTACAAAGAAATAAAGGAAGTGTCAAAATCAGAGCCACAAGATAAAGCAAAGAACCACCTCCTAGTCTTCTGGATGTTTTTATTTGTAATATGAGCATTTCTTTTTATTTTTATATTCAGAATGAATAAATGTTTTTTTGGTCTGTATTTTTTAGCCATGTCCTGCAGGGGCCCGTGACTTTCGAGAAAAACAATGTGCAGACTTTGACAATATGCCTTTCCGTGGAAAGTATTATAACTGGAAACCCTACACTGGAGGTAATGTGTAGCTTTGAAAAACATTATCATATGTGAAGTATTCAAAAATGCATGAATTTTATACAGAAAGTAGTGTCTCTATTTAAAATCTTCTGATGAAGACATGATAACCTAGGTTAAGTTTTCTAACCTTTTGTCAGCTGCTAAAACCTTACAGAAGAGCCTTGACTATTCTAACAGGGATTTTTTTTAATGTGAAAAGAGCTTGAGAGAATCATTATAGGGACTCTATATTAAAATACAGAGCCCTTTTTCACCTGTGAGTGCGATAGAATTAAAGATTACATAATTTATCTATAAGAGAATAAACTTCTCAATAAATTTTTCCTTAATTGAGCTGAGTATAGTGGGAAATGGAGAAAGGGGAAAAAGCATCACAGAATCTCCAAAGATTACTTTAAAAACATGAGATTTGTATAATTGCACTGTAAAATAAAAAGGGTATTTTTTGAAGTAGGGAAGAGAATTAAAATCTCTTTTTAGAGCAGTTTAATCAAGTTTAGTTGCATATTGTTCAAAGTTATTATGTCATCCTTTGAATACTTTTTTTCTGTTCTGTTTTTCCCCTTTGTTTTTGTATTGAATGGTTTTATTTGCTGTTTTGTTTTAGATGGAAATCCTAGAGGTGACCTCTGGGATCACATGATCGCAGTGATAGTGTATTTCATGTAGACGAAAGTCCTATCTGAAATAATCTGATGTTTTTGAAATTCACCCTGATTTATTTCTAGGACTACGTTCTTTTCTTATTCGTGTTTGTCAAATGCTGCTGAAATAGTATCTTAAAATTACTTAATAATCATTAGGGTTATGTTAACATAATAGAATCCATTTGTAGATATCCAACTTTACTGCATCTTGCTATAAGAAATAATCCTCTTTGCAAAGAAAAGAAGAGTCAAGTAAGTAAATTGGTAATGGAAAGTAAAATAAGGTGTCTATACTACATGTGAAAAATGTAAGATAAGATCATACATTTTGGATCAATTTATGCAAGTACATTATTTTTTCAGAAACTCTTATTTTTTTTCACTTTTGTTGTCTAGGTGGGGTTAAACCATGTGCATTAAACTGCTTGGCTGAAGGTTATAATTTTTACACTGAACGTGCTCCTGCAGTAATAGATGGGACTCAGTGCAATGCTGATTCACTGGATATCTGTATCAATGGAGAATGCAAGGTATCAGAATTAGAGTAGATAAAAAGAACTGAATGTCTTAAACTTGAGTGAAGTGTTTTATCAAACAGTGGAGATAAAGCTGCAAAAAACCATCATGTTGTTAAAATATTTTTTCTTAGCATGTAGGTTGTGATAATATTTTGGGGTCTGATGCTAAGGAAGATAGATGTCGTGTTTGTGGAGGAGATGGGAGTACATGTGAAGCCATTGAAGGTTTCTTCAATGATTCATTGCCCAGAGGAGGTATGCATGTTTATGTCTGTTCTGTTGCATTTAGATAGCTGTTAAATGAAAAACAATACTTCAGTGGTTTCCATTATAAGATTGCTGCTAGTCACTCACTCACTTTGCCTCCTTTTGCCTAATTGTTTTATTTTAATGTATTGGTTTGGATTTATGTCAAATTCAGCAATATCCTTTATTACTGAAATATTGAGTTTTCATAATCTTGAATGCACTTAGTAAGAAATGACTGTTCGGAGACTGGTTTTGTTTTGTTTTGCTATAGTGCTTTGGTAGAAGAAATTATGTGAATGATTTTAACGTGCATAGTGGAATGCAATATTCCACATATGTGATAATCATGTATATGACTATACTTGAAATTTTACAATGGAAAGGATCCATAAGAGTTGCTTGAGTTAATTTTATTAAGAAGTTGGAGAATATGTATGGACGATTAGCTGAAAACATAGCTTAAAAAAAACAATACTACTGTTGGCAGTGTCAGTTTTATTAATGGTGCATCTGAGTCAGTTTTGGATTCTCAAATGTAGGAAAAGGATTGATGCACTGAAGTGTGTTCTGTTCAGTGAGGAACCACTGAGATAATTATATGCTGAAAAAAAAATATTTTTTGAGAAGGGGTTGAAGGAATTAGATTTATTTTGCCTAGAGATGTGATAGTTCATGGGGACCTGGTATCAGCCTTCCAAAACCTGTGAGGAGGTTAGTGTGGAGACAAAACCAGGCTGTTCATGGTAGGTGGTAGATGACTTGATGAAAGGAGCAGAAACAATGACTATTAAAAAAAAAAAAAAAAAAAAAGACAAAACATTACCTGAATGGAAGGAAAAACATTTTCCCCATGTGGCAGTGGTTCAGTTGCCCAAAAGAGGTTGGACTAAGTGACTGTCTGAGGTCCTTTCCAACCTGAATTATCCTATGATTCTATGATCATTTTACACATTAGTTACTTGCGATACAATGTTGAAAGTACTTTGTTAGCATTTAAAAAAATGAATACATAAATTTGTACTACATTTTTGCTACCACTTTAAAATCTGTGTGAAATCAAAAAAGTTTCATTTATATATCACATGAAGTGGAATGTTCAAGTATGTTTGAATCCTATATTTCTTACTAGATTTAAATTGTAAACAATTTAATAATGGTTAATTTCATGACCAATATAATATAATGAGAAAAAAATATACCATTTTCTCGTAGGCTACATGGAAGTGATTCAAATTCCAAGAGGTTCGGTGCACATTGAAATAAGAGAAGTGGCAGTGTCCAAGAACTACATTGGTAAGAGCATGTTTTAAATAGCAGAATGTAAATAAGTTTTGATGTGACTTGAAGGTACAGTTTTCTGGTGTGACCAAACCATACGTGTAGTAGAAGGATGAGAGGGAATTGTAGTTTTTAGGCTGTGGCAACTGCCTAAAAAACATCCAGTTTGTTAGGATGCATTTGCATTCTCCCAAGTGGAGCTAATGGAATGCATCATTCCTCCTTGACTAAAGCACAAAATCGGGCCAGTAAGACTTGGAGCTAGAGTAGATGAAGATCCCTAAAGTGATCTACTGCCCCACTCTGAGCTAGTGTCTTCCTCCTGAGGAAGGTTCTCATTTTAGGGGACTGTTTTAAAATATAATCTTATTATTGGAATGTTTATTCAACAACAGCAATAGTTACTTAAATACTAATGAATTACATACTGGAAACAGGTTGCCCAGAGAAGATGTGGATGCCTCATCCTTGTAGGTGTTAAAGGTCAAGTTGATTGGGGCCATGAGCAGCCCACAGCAGGAGGTTGGAACAATATGATCTTTTCAGATCATTCTTTTCAGGCATTCTGTGATGATATCATACTGCCTCCGTATCTTAAGACAGTGTATTATATTAATTCCACAGTGTTTCTATATTGCTATGTTGTAGCAACTTATTGCTCTGCATTTTTTTATGGATAGGAAAATTACATGCAGGAAAAAGTTTGTGCTTTATTAAGATCACTTGGGAAACCTGTCACAAAGCACAGAATTAAATTCAAATTAAATTAATCCAGATTATCCTTTGTTTTCTTTAAGATTGTGTTAAATTTCATTTCCATTTTTTTAAATATTAGTATGTACAATCTGGCTTCCTCAAAATTGAACATGCATTTCTCAGAGTTTATATATGCTGGTTTACATAGCATTCAGTTCACAGTAGTGCAGGAGCATTCCTTAATCAAAAATAATGTAGAGAGCTGATCAGTTGTACGGGAAGCAGATTAACACAACCAGAACCTGTTACCTTTATAGACTTAATAGCAACTGTCTGTGCTGCTTAGTCATTCTGTACTAATGTAAGTTTATGTGTATGATACTGATGTGTTGCATCAGTAATGCATAAATAATATATAAATAGATAATTTGTGTATATATAAATAAATAATGCATAAATGCATGTAAGTTTTAGTTTAAAGGGTAATTACTCTTTAAGGTGCAGTTGTTCCTAAATGTATTATATTGATGATAACGGTACCTTTTACTATTGGTTGCTTTTTTTTCTTTTTCTTTCTTTTTTTTTTTTTCGGACTGCTCCCACAGTCATGTAATTCAGATTTTCAGTCTCCCTCCATTCTGTAGGAATAGTAACATTCAGTACTGCAGGAATAAAGAGCACTTACCATTTTTTCAGCATTACATTCTCCCAATTCATAATATGTCTGTAAGATTGCTTGTGTATCCTATATTGACCGTTGACACAGAGCTGATGGGAGAGGCATTAAATGCATCCTCTCACAGTTGCTTTCAAAAAAGAATGTTATGTAATATTGACATTTACACCAATATTAATGTCCTATTTAATATACAGATCACATTAAGACACTTGGGTTCTGATTCCAAGGCTAACTGAAAACAGAGGTGATAAAAGAGAATAAAGAAGATAACTTTCAATTAGTACAGTTAAGATTTTTGCTCCTCTAATTTATTAACAGAGAAATATGATCTGGAACTGCACTTATGTCAGTAACCTCAGCACCAAAATTAATGAAAAATGTCAATTTTTTTAGCTCAAATGGACATTATAGGTAATATTTGTGGTTTTTAATCTGATCACAGGTCTGATAAGATAAAATATGTTTCCAGTGTGCTTCTCACAATTTCAAGGGTGTTCCCAAGTTTCAGGCCCTTCCTTGCTACCTCGCTTCTTGCCTCACATGCCCTAGCTGATTCCAGGGGCATTCATCTCTGTTACTACTTTGCTGTGTTTACACCTTTCAAGGGAGCTTATTACATTAGCAATATGCTAATGTAAGATAATAAAGTCAAGAGACTGTTTCATTTTTTTTTGAATGTTTTGTACTGTGAATGTGAGCAAGGTCACTATTTTAGAATCACCAGTTTTTGAGGGAAGGAATGCTTGTAATTTGTCTGTTCCCTAAAGAGCTATAGAAACATGATGGCAGTTAAAAAGGAATTTATTGTGTTAAAATACATACTTCAAGGTATTGTTTTATAGATGCTTCTTCTATAGCAATGTTTACTTCACAACTCTCTCCTCATCTTTATGGAGTTCTCTCTTGTTTCGGAGCAGCTGTTTTGTGGTCACACCATGAACCAGATTAGAGAACTGATTCAGCTGAAAATAACCATTTACACATATTATTATGTTTTGTTTTATGTTCATGCTGCCAAATAAGTGACCACAGTCAAAAAAATCAATTTCTCAATTTGGAAATTAAAAAAAAAAAAGAAAAAAAAAAAGAAAAAAAGAAATGAAAAAAAACCCGCTCCCCTGTAGCTCTGGCTTCAGTACTTTTCTGTTCCTTTTAGTCAGGGGTCTCAGACTAAGACTATGATCCAGTTGTTTTGCAAGCCCTGACCTTAAATTGAGTCAGCAGTTAGATATCTGATAACCTCAGGTAGCTCAGTTAGTACCTCTGTTCTCCATGCTCCCTGCCTCAGACTAATTATTTCTGCACCAGTATCACTTCTTGTGCTGTGACACTACAAGCACGTGTTTCTGTGGCTGCATAAGTAATCTGTTTTTTTAAACCAATCTGTCCATAAACAACAGCAAAATTGCCTTTTTTTCAGATCTGCTGAAAAAAATATATGCTGAGAAGAGCTGCTGTCTTTCCTTAATTGGATTTATTTGAGTTTGACATCTTCACTTCTATTCTACTTTGCAACAGAGTGTTGTGTTCTGATTTCCCATGGGTTTCCTGCGTTCTCACATTCTCACAAATTTCTTGATTAGGATATTAACTTGTTCCTTCTTTCTCATATGCTAATAGTTATGTCACTGCCTCACTGCCTCATCATTGTCATATAATTATATTTTTGGAATACTATTCACTGCTGCGTAGCCTCCACCTATGTATAAAAACTGACATTAAGCAAATCCATTCACAGAATGCAAATACATTTTTGCTTTGCAGACAGGCAGGTAAAAAAGCATTGTGTATAACACACATATAATTCATAGAATAGAGTTTAGGAAAGATTAATTATGTATGAAGACATTTTTTTCTCCTTCGCTTATTTATATATCACACTTGTTCTCATTGATACGTCTGAAGTAATAGAAGTAAGAACTTACCTCATTATTTGCTGTTAGTAGATACTAGATGTACTGACAAGAAAAGGTTTGGTATTAAATGTTAGAGTAAGACAGACCTTAATGTTTTGGTGACTCTGGCAGATCCCATGATCCTCTCTTAATCAATCCAGATTTTGTGAAAGCAAAATGGTTAGAAATTTTAACTATAGGGAAGTCTGACCACCAGTGAAATACTAATGTTCAGCTTCAACATAGTTATATGAAGTTATGATAGGACAAGAGGCAACAGTTTTAAACTAAAATAGGGTAGATTTAGATAAGTTATTTGGAATAAACTCTCCACTGTGAGAGTGGTGAGGCAATGGAACAGGTTGCCCACAGAATCTGTGGATGCCCCATCCGTGGCAGTGTTCAAGGCTGGATGGGGCCTTGGGCAAACTAATCTAGTAGGTGGCAAAACTTGATCCTAAGTTGTCTTATGATTATGAAATGAGTTTGTAAAATTCTGTATAGTAAAGTTAATGTGTGTTTTGTCTCAAAAAAAAGCACTGCTGTTTGTGTTTCCACCCATTGTTTTGCCTCAAATACTGTTAAATTGAAAGTAAATATAAATGATGAATAAGTCTATAACCTTCATTATTGCTTCAAGTCAAGGAGTCAGTATCTAATTAACAAAACGTCTGCCTTAAGATACAAAGTCATTTTTGTATTTCGAAAATTAATCTCGTATTACTGGTAAAATATCAAATACTAAGTCTTTGATGAGTATCTGCTTGTATAGCCTACTTAGGCAGTTAGCTAAGAAATTTCTTATCTAGTATATTTATGGTTTAAGGATGCAAATCAATAGTAATAAAATATATTGGCAGATAAAATAACTAATATTTGATTTTGTAGTAGAAATGTCTTGGATTTATGTTCTAAGAAGGAAAAAAAAAAGTGTGCAAAGACAATGAAGTAAGATCTGATAGGTAGCATAATTCAATCTTCCTTCTTTTTTTTTCTACTCAGGATGTTATATGAGGTACCAGTCTCATGCTCCAACATACAATATCTTAATCAAAAGATTAGATTGATCTGTTTTTGCTGGGGGACCCAGGTCTGGACACTACTCCAGATGGGGTCTCATGAGATTAGAGCAGAGGGGACAGTCCCCTTCCTTGCCCTGCTGGCTGCCCCACTTTTTATGCTGCCCAGGATGCAGTTGGGCTTCTGGGCTGCAACTGCACACTGCTGTCTTAGTCTGGCTTTTCAATGGCCGGAATCCCCAAGTCCTTCCCAGCAGGGCTGCTCCCAGTGAGTTTTTCTTTCAGTCGGTACACATATCTGGGATTGTTGCAAACCAACTACAACACCTTATGTATAACAGCACAAGGCATTCTGTTGCGTGCCATCCAATATCTGCAAAGTTTACCTGCACATTGGAGATCATGGTAGAAAGTCTTGCCAAGTTGTTTGAGGGATATTTTGATCAGGGCTAAAGAAAAAGGTTTATCTTGAAAAAACAGTGGTACGGAGCTGAAACTCATATACTTCTACTAGATTAGTAGGCTAATTTGCAATGGCTTCTCCATTATAAATGCTGCTTCCAATTTTTAGGTGGCTTGTATTTTTTTTTAAGCTCTAAAATCTGAAGAGGATGACTACTATATTAATGGTGCCTGGACTATTGACTGGCCAAGAAAGTTTGATGTTGCTGGAACAGCTTTCCATTACAAGAGGCCAACAGATGAACCAGAATCTCTGGAAGCTCTAGGCCCTACTTCAGAAAATCTCATAGTCATGGTAAAGTTATATTTAATATATGTATGAAATTTGAAATATGATTTTTGTGATCAGCAAACATAAAACCATGAATAAAATCAAAGTAGGTCCCAGACCATGCTGGGGTCTTGCATTTGTATTTTAATTAAGTTTCCTTATCTTTCAAAACTGATATGCAGATACTGAGATGAAAAAGTGATAAAGTTGTAAGAGCCTTGGGAAATATCACAGAAAATACCCCATGTATGTTAAATGTACTACAGAAGGAATTCTAAATTGGATATGTGTTGCATTTCTGTGTACTTATGTTAGATGGAACTGCTTGATGTGTAATATGAATACAGTAACTTTTTTCTTTACTGACAGTTCTGTAGTGATGAGAATAATTTGACCTGTATTTAAAATTAAAAAAAAAAAAAGAGAGAGAAATAATCTAAGACTGGTATATGTTAGGTGGGAAAGCGGTAAGTGCAGTATAGTCACCAAACTGGGTAGACAAAAGGTCTTGATGATTATTACTCTGTCATCTATAACAAATGCAGTGAATGACAGTAGTGATAGTTTTTATATTCCTTTAAAGGATCCACCAGTTTTAACTAATGTATTCAGTAAAAACAATAACTTCAGCAACAGTGTATTGCTGTTACTATTTTTACTGTTATAAATCACTAAAAATAAAAGCAAGGAGAGGGCTAGATTCTTAACTAGTTAACAGTTAACTAGTTAACAGTGATAATTACTGCATATTTGCACAGTGATGTAATTAACTTTTACTTCAAATAATGATTTGGTTATGAAATTCATTTCCATGAAGACATTAATTTATGAACACTGGCTTCTTTGGGGTTATTGTGTCAAGGATAAAAAATTGACGGAGGTTAGGTAGTTACGATGTCAAAGGGAAAATAAGGTAAAGTTCAGTTTATACAATAATATCTTTTGTGTACATTTAACAATTTCATTCAGATTGTTTTGGAAATATCTTAAATAAATATTGCAGCCTCCTTTATTACTTTTTTCCCTTTCACAAGACACAACATGTCTTGTGTTATTAATGTCACTGTAGTTACACTCTGCTTGCCTCTTCTAATGATATAACCCATTGTTTTCAACTTCAGATTCTGCTACAGGAACAAAATTTGGGTATAAGGTATAAATTCAATGTTCCCATCTCTCGTACTGGCAGTGGAGACAATGAAGTTGGCTTTGCGTGGAATCATCTGCCTTGGTCAGAATGTTCTGCCACTTGTGCTGGAGGTAAGACCAGGCAGCCAAGCTACAAGATAAGCTGAATTGCAAGATATTCTTTCTTACTTAATTATGTAGGTAACTAATTAAAAATGTTTCTTCCAGATATAACTCAGACCTTATTTTAGAGAACGAACATTTATCTCATCGGATTTTGTTGTTTTCCAGTACATTTAATATATTCAGATGTTTTTTGTTAAATGCAGTATATGTTGACAGAGTGTGTCTGTTGGTGGTTCTTCTGAGATTCTCTTGAAGTTGTGATGTTTGCTTTTCACAGGAGCTTCCTTGGTAAAGTACATCAGAAGTTTTAGTAAGGAGATTAAAAACAGAAGGCAAATAAAGCAACCGTAAATAAAGGGATATATCTGTGTATGTTTGTACATATTCTTCACACATTCTAGTCAGCTCTCTCATCTTCCAGCCACTAAAGTTTAGGACACATACTGGCAACTCCTCTGTAGGAGATTATAAGAACTGGATTATACTTCCCAGCCCGTAGCAGTATGTATTAATTGTTGCCTTTTGGCAGCAACGGGGGTTTTGTAGGTTGTCCCATGTGATTCATCATGGGTACCTTTTGCCCACCATTTACTATATTCCTAATCCTCCCTCTAGTGGCCACCAATGCAATTCTTTACCTCTGGCTGGGAGAGCAGAACAGTTGGCTTTCTTCAAAGCCAACACCATTGCTGCTGCATGGACTGGTGAGTAGAAGTGCTGTGTGAACAGTATCTTTCTTCTCTCTGGAGACTGAATACATCATCACCAATATATATTAATTTCACAAGACACAGAAGAGAAAGTTAAATTGACCTCAGAATTTCAGCTTTCTACTGCGCTATGCACTGACCATAGCAAATTAGGAAATAGTTGTGTTTTTCTAAAGATACTTTGGAGGAAATATTTGTCCTTTTCTTTTCTTTCTGGGTACTGGAGATATTCATGTTTAGAAACATTTTGACTCATCTTTCTGATGGATCCTGCTGTGACTGTTAGTGGTTGCTTGCAGTTTAAATACAGCAATTTGAATAGCATAGGTAGGACAGAAAGGATAGTACAAATCCTATTCTGTGTAACTAAATAGGAAGTCTTGAAACAAAGTTGAGGGAGTTGCTAAATTTCTCCAGTATTTTGTTCTTAATTTGTAGGATTCTCATACTCAAATAGATGACAGACTGCTGTTTTAACTGATATTTCAACACTGTGATTCTAGTCAGAAAAGGAAGATCTTAGATTGTTGAAGGGAGAGGTGTGGTGGGGAGGTGCATTTCCATATATCAGAACTTTACAGGTACCACCAAATCCCATTTTTATGATGGGTTAATGAGCCATTTGAAGTCATAGGAAAACTCCACTGATTTAGATAGACACAATGTTTTATCTGTGAGTCTTGTGTCATGCAGGTCATAGTTGATTTCAGAGATTTGAAAGTATACAATGGAAAAAATAATTGGCTCAAAATGAGTAAGCAGTTGTTTAGATAAAACTAGTTTGAAATTTTCTTCTTATCTTTATCATTACATATGAAATGTATATGAATCTCTGATAACTATATGCATTTATTAATCATTTGAAACTTATTTTTGAAAGATGTTCTTCAGTAGCTTATTGTGTCTAAACCAGGCTCCTTTCATTCTCTCCTTTCATTCTGCTTAGTATGAGAATATACTGTGATACTTATTTTCATTTAAATTTTTAGAAGAGGTAGCTATAATTCATGCTGAAAACCTGGATCTGCTTTCTTCATATGTGTATCCTTTATTTCTCTCAGTTTATGAAACACCTCCTGCCATATGCCAAAAGAAGACAAAATTTTTAAAAGGAGATGAATAGGGAAAAAAGAAGTTTTGTAAAACTTTTAATAAAAGAGATAAAAGTTTGTAGAAACAGCAGAACTGGAAAAGTTGACTAGTATGAATATGAAATGTGGGAAATCTTACAAATGAAAGCACAGCATGGCTTGCTTTGTGTCAGTAGGATTCATTATGAAGTCAGTTACTGCAGTTCACTTGAATTCTGTCTTTAGAAGATTTCTTTAAATCAAAGGATAACAAAATTGTTAACAGTTGAAGAATGTATCACTGAAAGAAAAAAAGAATGACAGTGCATATGTGTGAGGGATACTAGTATGGAAATTGGTTTTTATTTTATAATCATATAATGCTTGTGGAACAGACCATGAATAGGTCAAAAGCATCACATTTTTTCTGCCTCTTTCTCTAATTGTAGTTGGTGTATCTGAATTGTAGGGCATAGGTATTAAAAGTTTGATCATACCATATTCCATCTTGATCCGGGAAAACTTGTGATGAAGTAGAGCCAGATACACTGTCATATCAAGAATCTTGATATTAAATTAATAAGAATTAATAAGATATTAAATTGATAAGAATTAATGTAACTTCCATCCATCTCAGAACATGTACAGATGTTTTTGTCCTTTTTCTAGGTGTATGTTATAGGAAATAGCTATCTTAAGAAAATATCAAATTTGCAAGTATTTAGAAGACAAAATATGACAAAATTAAGGAAGATGTTGAAATGTTACGTTGTTTTCTGTGGCTGTTCTGTGATACAGGGAGCGGATGAGCAGGGGCCATTTTCTGATCCTTAGGCTGTGTCTCACACTAGCTCATATAATCACTGAATTGTTATGGTTGGAAAAGACCACAGAGATAATCTACTCTAACCATCAACCCACCACCAACATTCCACTAAACCACCATGTCCCTTAGTGCCACATTTGGGGTCCTGGTAAGACAGGTTGGCCATGAGCCAGCAGTGTGCCCTGATGGCCAAGAAGGCCAGTGGGATCCTGGGGTGCATTAAAAGTAGTGTGGCCAGCAGGTCAGAGGAGGTGATCCTCCCACTCTACACTGCCCTTGTCAGGCCTCACCTGGAGTTCTGCATCCAGTTCTGGTCTCTCCAGCACAGCTTTTCCTCCCAGCTTGATTTCATCTGCAAATGTGCAGATGAGATGCACTCAATCCACTCATCCAGATGATCAGTAAAGATATTAAACATGGCCAGCCACACTAGTGACTGGTCACCAACGGGATTTAACTCTGTTCACCATCACACTCTGGGCCTGGCCATCTAACCAGCTTTTTGCCCAGCGAACAGCACACCTGTCTGAGCCTTTGGCTGCCAGCTTCTCCAGGATAATACTGTGGAGGCAGAATCAGAGGCCTTACTAAAGTCCAGGCAACCTACATCCACAGTTTTTGCCTCATCCACCAAGCAGATCACCTGGTCTTAGAAGATTAGGTTGTTCAAGCAGGACCTACCTTTCATTAACCCACGTAGGCTAGGCCTGATAACTTAGTTGTAATGCTTTGTGATCACAGTCAAGGTGATCTTTTCCATAACTTTCCCCAATACTGAGATCAGGCTGTCAGGCTGTAATTCACCTGATCTTTCTTTCAACCATTCTCATAGATGGCTGTGATGTTGGCTAGTCTCCAGTCATCTGGGACCTCCAGTGTTGACAAGGACAGTTGATAAATGACAGAAAGTGGCTTGGCAAGCACTTCTGCCAGCTCACTCAGCACCCTCGGGGTCCCATCTGGTCCCATAGACTTGAGACAGACTAGGTGGAATAACAGGTCTCTAACTGATTCCTCCTGAATTGTGGGGGATTTATTCTGCTCCCTGTCCATCTTCTAGCTAAGGGGGCTAAGTACCCTGAGGATAACTGATCTGATTGTTAAAAGATAGAAGTAAAGAAGGCATTAAGAACCTTAGCCTTTTCCTTGTCCTTGGTGATAACGTTCCCTGCCTTGTCTGGTAAAGGAGGAAGATTCTCCTTTTGCTGTTAATATATTTGTAAAAACATTATTTACTATCTTTAACAATGGTGGCCAAATTAAGTTCAAGCTGATCTTTTGCCCATCTGATTTTCTGTCTGCATACCCTAGCAACATCCTTATACTCTTCTTGGGTTGCCTGACCCTTCTTCCAAAGGTGTTGAACTGTCTTTTGCTCCTGGAGTCTCAACTTCCTCTTCAGCCAGGTTGGTCTTCTTCCCTATTGGCTCATCTTAAGCACAGGGGAACAGCCTGTACTTGCATCTTCAATATTCTTTTCGTTTTCACTCCACACTCAAGTCTAGTTCTCTCTAAATCAGACTGACTGTATCTGAATTTCGTAACATTTTCCAGGTCCATGACTCATAAGATATAGTTATTACTTGACATATATTTTTGGATTGAAAGTATCTAGCACAAAGACTAGGGCAGTATTTTGGCATAGTGAGGTTCAGATAGTTTTGAAGTTTTGTATATTTCCAGTTTTGTATATTTCCAGTCTTTATGATATCTCTATTTTGAAATAAAGTAAAAGCAGTCCTCCGCATTCAGTAATTCCTAGGGCTGCTTGTAGGCCTTGTTTTGGAGAAAGATTACTGGAGCAGTCAAGAGCCATGGAGCAAGCAGAGAAGCAATTGGTGCTTTTTTATTTATTGGCTTAAATACAATTTTATGTCTGTGTATGAACCTACAATCATTAATTAAACGATAACATGCTGTCTGTTTCAGTGGACTTCTATCTCAATGTTTATTGTTGCTGTGCTTCTGAACAGTAAAAGCACTTCAATTTTTAATACAGGTCCTCTGTTCTCAAACCTGTAACCATTTTGCAGAATAGGAAAAGCATGCTGTAGAAGGAGCATGCTATAAAAGGAATTATAGAAAGAAGGAGGAGGAGGTTTTTGTGCTTACAATGGATAAATGTGCTGGAACTCTGGATTCCTTGTCTGCCTCACTTGTATGGCTCTCATGTGATACTGAGCTTGCAGTGTATATTACACACTCAGTAATTATCAGTTCATCATTATTTGGATACCTCCTTGGAATGTCTGAGCACTGAAGCATGTCATGAAAATAATTTCATGAGGTGTGCATACAGTATTACAAAAACTCCCATGAACACCTGAAATCAGTGGACTCAAAAATCTGAGTTTCACTTTCATATTTCTTGAGATTTTCTGAAAACATGTTCTTTGGATT